TTTCAGTACAAATCGGCAATTTCATACTTTAACCCCTATTATTATTCTGCAAGTACAATTGCTTTAGAAGTATATACTTGATATATGTGCAGTTATTTCAAGAATAAACTCCACTTAAGGATCCACAATAAGGTACCATTATTTTTCAATTGATATGAAAAGTGATATATATATTACACTGGTTAAGTTATAACCACTTTAATGTTTATATCACTTTTCAATATGACTGCTATTTAATACAGAGATTTAATTCTGCAATTAAGAGTTTTCATTAATTAATTTAAAACGTAATCATACCAAACCCTTATTTATTATTATAAAATTTTTTGCTTTAATTTATATCTAGTTATATTGTATATAAATTACAGGAGGTCACCATCAATAAATCCAGATGCAGGCCCAGGAAGGCAACAGGAGGGCAAGTTCGTTGAACTGCCTCATGCTGAAATGGGCAAGGTGATTGTGCGGTTCCCGCCTGAGGCGTCAGGGTAGGTTCAGGCGTGTCTGGTCAATGCCGTACATTAAAAAATTAATTCAAATTTACTTTAATAGATGGCGCTCCTTAGGCGCAACTTCAAAATTGATTAGATTGACTTATTTTTAAAGACTTGAAATGCAAAGTATATTTGAAATTGCGCATTGGTTATTTTAGTAGTCCTAGTTTACAATAGATGGCGCAATACTACTTTCACACATATCACAAAAGAACTTTTAATATGCAATAGTATTGAAGAGCAACAAATAAGAAATATTGTCTGCTTTACAGCTATCTCCACATAGGCCACGCTAAAGCGGCATTGTTGAACCAGTACTACCAAGAAGCGTTTAAAGGCAAACTCATCATGAGATTTGATGATACCAACCCTGCAAAGGAAAATGCTGACTTTGAAAAGGTACTTGGGCACATAATTACTTATAGAATTCGCTTGTTACTGGCAATAACTATGTCATTATAACGCAAGAGGATACATTTAATGTTAGAATGATTTCTGAAATTATTTTTTAATTTTTGACATTGTTTATTTTATTACATTATATTACGTAAAGGAATTTAAAAAATGTATTCTTTATAAAGCAATTTTGAGATAATACTATGTCGTCATGTGCGACATCTGGAATCAGCGATACGAATTCTACAACCGTATAAGCATTTTTTAAATATCTTATTTAGATTCAATTTTATTGTTATATGTATAATCAAAAACATTTTTAAAATAAAAGAAATGCTTTAGGTGCCGATATCGCGTAAGTTGCCAAGATCCAAATGCGTTCGATAGTCATGACAAGGAGGGCAGAATGTAATTTTATATCTAACACTATATTATAATAGTTAAACATGTTGTAGCTACTAACTAACTAGTTTTAAAAAAGAAATAGGACATGCATATTTTTAACACAACTTTTATTTCACCCCAGGTGATATTAGAAGACGTAGAAATGCTGGAAATCAAGCCGGACATGTTCACGCACACGTCGCAGTACTTTGACCTAATGCTTCAGCTCTGTGAGAAACTCATCAAGGAGGGCAAGGCCTTCGTTGATGACACGCCCGCCGAGCAGATGAAGAATGAGCGTGACCAGAAAGTTGAAAGCAGGAATAGGAATAACTGTATGTAAAAGTTGCCTGTTTATCGGTATTATACAGGATATATCATGGTGAACGTACTGTTGAATTGTATGATTTAATTCCGCCTTCCCCTTTAGGTCATCGGGGGACTGGATGTAGGCTAGGGTTCCACGCCTATGTTATGGATATTCCAGGGAATCGCACAAAGCGATTCGCTTCCATACTTATATAGCGAACGGCTATGAAGTGGAATTCCCTACCTACAGACTTATTCCCTGAACGCTATAACTTGGGCCTTTTTAAGGCGAGAGTGATTAGGTATTATTTAGGTATGCATGCTCTTCATGCATGCTATATCGACCTCATCCTCACTTTCCATCAAGTGAGATGGAGGTCAAATGCGCACTTATTTTTCTATTAAGAAAAGTAAGTAATATGTAAATCTGAAGTAAACTAAATTTTACTTTAATGCATCTTGTCTCTTTCGTGAACAGTTAAAGATGCGATACTACCTCAGCTCGAATAAACTATTTTCCTTACTAATATGGTTCATTTTGCATGTACCATGCGGCAGGGACTTTATTTCAGAATTTATGTTTTTACAAACGATATTAGTAATTTGAAATATGTATATCGTATACTATACGTGTTTAGTTTAGTTTTTTTTATAATTTAAAGTGACGGGACGAACAAGTCGTGCGCCTGATTGTAACCTACACGCCTGTCTATAACAGTTACAATACCACTCAGAGCTTTAAATTGCAAAGATCTGAGGGGCACTACCATTGCGCCCGTCACCTTGAGACATAAGTTGATAAGGCCCATGTGCCTATAATTTCACCAGCACCACCAGCACCCTTCAAAACCAGAACACAGTGATGCTGACATTACTGCTTGGCGGCAGAAATAGGCAAGGTGGCATACTACCCCGGACGAACTTTTTCTCAAGGCGCTCTACTGCTACTAAACTACTACTACTAATACTAGCTCTACTACTACCACTAGTTCAGTTGATATTGAAAAAATCATTGGTATATGTAAAGTACCTACTCAATACAGCGGTTTTGTAAAATTTCGAGGTAAACTTATGTTTTTTTCTATCATGTAAATTTTTAGGAACCATGTTTTCACGCCGTATGTGTACTAATCAGTGTATATCCTCAATTTCTCTATATATTTTTTCCAAAGTGATTGATTCAACACTTTCACTGTTAGGCTCAACTCACACTGGCGCAGAGTCGAAGCGTCACGACGCGTCATGTTTTTCGCCCATTCATCTCTATTTTCCCATTATTAAGGTACACATTTGTGTTATGCAAATGTGGATTCGCGGCGACGCCGCCGTGCGTTCCTTGCGCTCAGTGAGGCGTCAGACGCCGACCACACTGTGGTCCGGGCGCGCTAAGGCGAATGTCGCCATGCGTTGTAGTTGAAAAACAGGACGCGATGCGACGCGACGCTTCATCTCTGCGCCAGTGTGAGTTGAGCCTTATGTGGAATCATTCAAGCCATTTGGAGTTGTATCGACTCATAAGATTAAAAATTTAACAGCTTCTTATTTTCTTTTTTTACGCGTCTCGTCTACAATTGAGAACCCCATTGAAAAATCCATACTACAATAATTAAATATGACGATTGTAGAGGAAGACCACCCAAAAGATGGACTGACGGTAATCAGCAGCAGGCAATCGATGCAAGCAGCATCTTTTAGAGGAGGCCTATGTTTGAAGACAGGCTCAACAACGATAAACATGCATATTACTCGATTGTTGAAATAATACATACTCCGACATTTTCCAGCTGTCGAAAAGAACCTACAACTATGGGAGGAGATGAAGAAAGGCAGCAAAATCGGTGTCCAGTGTTGCGTCCGTGCAAAGATCGATATGCAATCGGCGAACGGCTGCTTGAGAGACCCCACGATTTACCGCTGCAAGCCCGAGGCGCACCCTCGGACTGGCACGCAGTACAAGTAAGTTTGAGGTTGTTTCCAGACAAGAAACCTGAAAAATAACTATTCCATCCTGAAATATTGACGCTAGTATCGCGGTGTTTTTGCGACCTAGTGTCTTAAATTGTAATTGTTTTAATATAATTGTGTTTCAAGGGCGGCAAGTAGGCAATTACGAACAGAGGAACGTTCCACCCGTACGTTTGTAACTACTGTTCCGCCCGTGTGGCATACAATGTTTTTATCACACTTGCGAGCAAGTTAAAGATAAGGAAAATTAGATCTTTATAGTTTATTCCGAATACAATCTATATAAAAAGTTTTTTTTAGTTAAAGCCAAGTTACACGACGCGAAAATTTTCGCGCGACGGCTCAGTTACCATGCTTTCACGTACATTAATAATTCGCCTGAATAATACAATTGCGCGGTCACCGCGTAGACCAAAGACAAGCCAGACTCGCCCGCACGCCCGGGGTGCTCATATAAGTTAAAACATAAAAACTAAATAAATAGAGCGTACTTTGCCATGACAGTTAGACGCACGCGGTTGCTGAACGGCACCCGCGCGGCAACCGCGTGAGCGCGATGAAATTCGTGTCGAATAAATGCGCCCTTATGGTTTGACCGCCTATCAAGCAGAGGGCGTGGCTTCGAATCTGAGCTTCCACCTCTTGAGTTTTTTGAAATTTGCCAAGAGCTTTTCCATGAAGGAAAACATCGTAAGGAAACCTGCACACATCTGCTTAGTAGTTTAATGATGTGCCTAAAGTTCTCAAGCCGCATTGAGCCTGCTTGGGAACTACGACTGAAGCCCTCACATTGTGAGAGGAAGCCTGTGCCTAGTAGTGAGACTATATATATAGCCTAACTATATAGTTTGCTTTAAGTTTACGTATAATTGAAAAAAAAATATTGGAATTGGTGTATCTATGTAGGTACCTCAGTCAAAATTCACTTCTTTTTGGGACCGTGAAGAAAATCGCGCGAGACGGGGCGGCAATGGCCGAGCCGACAGTCTCTCGTCGCTAAAAATAAAAAAAAACTATTACCGCAAGATTACCGCCCTAACACACCCCGGACACTCCATACAACGATCGAAAGTTATTTACCTGCTACTATTACATACAACAAGGCACTATCTGCACACGCGCTAATGTTTGAGTGAAGTGGCAGGGTTACCCATCAGTTTCTCATACAATCACGATATGTGATTAGAGAGGTAACATAGCGAAAATTCTAACGAGAATCTGTTTTCTTTAATTCTATTAATAGAATCCTAATAATTACACACGTTTATTAGGTATTTATATCGATATAATATTTATATATTTCATTAATTCACTAACTAGAATAATATTGAAGAGTTATGAAAAAATATATTAAAAGCACTTAAATGTTATAATTTGGACAGGTACTTTTAAATAAGGTAACCAAGGTATTTGAAATTGAGTGTTTAAGTTTATTATTACCTAGTTAATAATTAGGTTTAATTTATTTCATCTTCGTTTTATCTTTCGGAAAACGAAAGAAACTCCTCTCTTTACCCCGTTTAGATGATGATAAACAGCCGCACACAACACAATTCACGACCATTATAAAATAGTAACGTACAATAATAATAATAATAATCTTTCAGACCTTGGGAGAGGCGAGAGTTTAAAATAAATACAATAATAATAATATTTATTTATCTTAAAACATGGTTTCTTAAACAATAGGGGTTGGAGCCTCCTTTTAAGCATAGCCTGTATCAGGAGACTCCGCGCTTTCTTGCCTACACGTTTCAAAACTACCAGTATACTAACTTAACAAAGTAAAAGAATAGTACTTATTAATATATTAATATTACTAACTAGGTATATAAATTTCCTTACAATTCTTTTAATATATATAAATCTTTGCATATAATATATATATATATATATATATAAATCTTTGCATTAATAACAACAATGACGTTATATATTCACGTACAAGTTTCGTAATGAAAAAACGAAAACTATATTCAAATATCAAAGCCATTTTGCTTATATAATGCCGTTCAGTCAATGTGCGGGGCGTGGTGCGGTATCTAAAGCTAGGAAGGGGCGGAGTGTCCATTCTCGTTACTTTTTATTTGTCTGGCCCTGGGACCATAAGATACACATACCTCCTAGATTTGCTGCACATTATACTACTACTTACGACTAAGTGTGATGAAAAGTATGCCTATTAATTATCACAATGTGTTGTTGGATTTAGAAATGCCAGTGTAATCAACGTTCTCCATAGAAATAATAAAAATACATTTGCAAATGATAACACAGTAAAGTAAATGTAATATTGGATATAACCATGGAATTACCCATTAATATTTTGTCTTATCGTTTGTAGAAGACACTATTCTTAGAAACACATGTCTATGTCAAAATCTGGCGGTCAGTCAGCCTTTACACTCATGACTGGGATGGTCTTCTGAAAATTTATTTTGTCTTATTGAAACACCACCCATCCACAGATGTAAAAAGGAGCGAGATATCATCATGAGATTACTGTCTGTGACAGTGATAAACTTTCCTTGTTATTTAGTTCTGTTTTCATTGATTTTTATTTTGTTTTGAATTAATGTCTGAAATTATACTTTTTTAAACACCCTGTATAAAATTGTCCTTGTGTATTACAGAGTATACCCGACTTACGATTTCGCGTGCCCAATAGTAGACGCAATCGAAGGGGTGACCCATGTACTACGTACGATGGAGTACCACGACCGCGATCCACAGTTTTACTGGTTCATAGAAGCGCTGGGCCTGCGCAAACCTTACATCTGGGAGTACAGTAGATTGAGTATGACGAATACTGTATTGTCCAAGAGAAAATTGACGTGGTTCGTCGAACAAGGACTTGTGGATGGTTGGTAGGTATACTACATTCTTTGTTACCTTGCAGTCTATTAATTTTGCACTTTTCGACTACATATCCGAACAGGTGTAGAACCAGGGCTGGAAGTGATAATTGTCATGACAATTATTACGTTAATTATTTTGATAAATCTTTGGTCCAGATGAACAGGGTCGGTCTCAAAAACACAGATTTTTTTAGGAGAGCAATTTTAAAGTTTCTTCTAGCATTATTTAACAGTACATACGTTACATATTTAACTGTATATTACATATTTTCAAATAATGTTTGTAAATAACAGTGTTTTCAAATATTTCATATTCTTATTCAGTTTCGTAATTTTGACAAAATCCTGAAATTGTTCAGAGAGGTCTATAAAATTTACCCTTTTGAACATAAAATATTTGTGATTCAGAGTTTTAACTAAACTATTAATGGTTAATACTTTTAAATAAAAGAAGGAATAATATTCAATTAAATAAAACTTTGAGGAACATAATAGTACCTTAAAAAATTACTCTGTGCTATAGATTACCATAACAATTCAATGAAAAAAAATTCCAAAAAAGGCGTTAACCTTGAAATAATCGTCTCCGTTTTAGAAATAAATATTTTAAAATACACTTGCCTTATAATGAACACATGCTGTGTTTTAGTTTTAATACCCTGCTCAACGAACGACGACGTCTTGACGACTACAGATTCGTGTGTAGATGTCGAGAAAGATCTCGATTTTTTTAATAGGACTGCATTTTTAAGTAAAAACTCCAAATTTTTGGGTTGATATCCTGTTCATCCAAGGCAACGAAATATATCTTGAATATAACAGTTAATATAACGTATACAAATAATTGGAACAACAAAATGCTATGGCAATGTCGAACCTTATTTTTTATTTGTTTCGGAGACATATCCATATGGTGTCAAATATCAATCTCAACAAGTCACAAACCAAATCATTATCCCAAAGATTTTTCTTCATGTTTATTTAGTTTTCTCACTGTTTGCCATTTTTGGTCAAACTAGGGATCGGCAAGGATTATTATCGGATATATTTCTGATAATTATCAGACATAATTATAATTATCAAAGTAAATAAATATCTTGACAATTTCGAACCGTATATAAAACCAACACCATTGTTAATAGTTACAAATGATAAGAAACCCATTGTTTTTAAAAAGACATGACATATTAATAAATTCAAACGTAATTTCTAGATTCGTAAAGTTTTCACAGGTTTTCTTTGGCAGGGATGACCCTCGTATGCCAACAGTACGCGGAGTATTACGGCGCGGCATGACTGTGGAAGGTCTTAGACAATTTATCCAAGCACAAGGCTCCAGTCGCTCTGTAGTCTTCATGGAGTGGGACAAGATTTGGGCTATTAACAAAAAGGTATGAATTGAACAAGTTGTATTATTGTAGCAAGTACAGGGTGTCTGGTGGCAGGTTTATGTTTTCAATTACGATTATTTCGAAAAGTAATAAACGGTGCGGGTTGAGGGTAGTTCTGTTTTGATCATTGACCGTGCGGATTTCTTAGTCACAATGTCGCAGTGGTCAAGTGAGCATCGCGCGTTTGCCATCGAGGCATTTCTTAGAAGTAATGATTCTTACGTAACTGCTCGTCGACAATTTTGTTCACACTTCGATATTCGACGGATAAGTAATGGACCGAGTGTAAATTTCATTCGTTCGTGGGTGCAGAGATTCCGCGCAACTGCTTCGGCTATGAACACCCCGCGGCCAGGGCCCAGTCGATCTTCAAGGACTCCGGAAAACATTGAACTGGTTGAAAGCAGCTTACATAAAAATCCAAGAGTTTCAATACGGAAAAGAGCGGCCTCACTGGGACTTCCTAGAGCGATTATTCATGAAATTTTAAAAAAGGATCTAAAGCTTCATCCCTTTAAAATTCAAATCGTTCATGAATTGAAAGAAAGTGACTTTCTTTGTTTCACGCAAAAATTTTTGTGAAACGATGTTGGAGCGTTTTCGCACTGTAAATCCGATTTTTTGGAGTGACGAGGCTCATTTTTACTTAAACGGCCACGTCAACAAGCAAAATTGCCGTTACTGGTCTCCAAGAACCCGCAACCCTCGACTAAACGCCAAAAACCATTGCATTGCCTCAGGGTAACTGTTTGGTGTGCCTTATCCACGACTAGGATAATTGGACCATTTTTGTTTGAAAATGCACGAGGCCAGGCGACGAATGTCAACAGTGAGAATTATCGACGCATGATTACGGATTTCTTTTTGCCGAACCTTCGAGCTCATCCATCGTACTCATCACGCACGTGGTTCCAACACGATGGTGCAACTGCACACACAGCCAGGGCTTCGTTGACTTTGCTTCGGGAATTTTTTCCCCAAAAATTGATAAGTCGCTTTGGGGACATCCCGTGGCCACCGAGGTCACCCGACTTAACCCCTATGGATTTTTTTCTTTGGGGCTACCTCAAAGAGAGAGTTTATAACGACAAACCCCGAACTTTTTTAGATTTAAAAGAGAATATTCGCCGAGAAGTCAGCTCAATCGAACCAAGTTTACTGCAGCGTGTGGCGCAGAACACAAGGCTCCGTTTTGTAGTGTGTGCAACGCGACGGAAGACATTTGGATGAAATAATCTTTAAAAAATAAAATCCACATTTCTGTTTTATTGCTTAGTGTTTATATTAAAACTATTTGTCAAATATTTCATTTTTTATTTAAGTTTGAAAACATAAATCTGCCACCAGACACCCTGTAGAAACAAATATCTCTGTGAAATAGGCTTAATAGTCTGTTGTTTGTACAATGCCACTATCACACATCAGTACATCTTCAGTTATTAACTTTACCGCGTTTAACTCTGCGCAGGGGGCAGCTTTCGTTTCGCAGCGAGTAAGTGCTGGAATGACCTACCTCCTCCAATCAAAGCGCTTATACGTTGTTTCTTTTAAAAAACTATGTAAGCAATGGCTCCTATGGCAAATCTGTACAGAAATCGAGTAACAGCTGGTCCCCAATTAAAACCACATTAAAACAAATTTTTAATTTAAGGTTCAATAAAAAAAAAAATAATTTTACATGGACAGCCTTAACTTTAACTTATTACTAGTTATTACTTAAGGTAGATAATAAGTAAAATAATACTTGGTGTAGAGGTTCCCGCCTTGTCGTGGCGGGGGGCTCTAGTCGCCGTGGTCGATTTCATCCCACGGTGAAACTAAGGGGAATCCACAGGGCCGGCCGATAGTGGTAGGCTGACCCGAGGAGGAGGGCGTTCCGCGCGGGTCTCGTTTGATCAGCGAAACCGCGCGGATGCGCGAGGAGGAGGGTCGCGGAGGGAGAGACGTGTCGGTGTGTCGTTGCCGGTCGTCCTGTCCTCCGCGATTCTGGCGGGGCTGCACCGCTTTCAATGATGCAGTGGCGGAGGGGCCGCGGGGGAAGAGACGTGTCAGTGTGTCGTTGCCGCTCGTCCTATCCTCCGCGGCCGAACGTGGGCGGTTGGCCCGTGGTGGGCGCTCAAAGGGACTCTCTTCGGCGAGTCCGCGCGGAAGCGCGTTAGGTGTTGCGGCGGAGCCTGCCATCAGTTCCGCCGCGAGGGCTGGGGGAGCAGCCACTGAACTTCACAGTTGAGTGGATGCTGTCCTGGCCCCCCATGGCCCTGGGTAGCGCACTCGGGGGAGTTCGTTGCCCAGCATAAAGGGGCCCGGGATGGAAGGCTCGTCTGGTGTTCGGCGAGCCTCACATTCGAAGTCGGGGGACCGATGTGTCTCCCTTCTCGGGGAGGGGCTGCGCAGGGCGCGGCCAGCCGCTGGTGGGGGCGCGGACGAGTGAAACAGCATACCCGTACCCCCACCTACAGCGGAGAGGAGGAACACTCCGGGGGTTTAGTGCGGTCGGGCTGCTCGCCTTCAGTGATCAGCCCAGTCCCACATAACCCCGGCTCTGCCCCCGCGGGGCAGGGGTATCTGTAAGCAGATTCCCCCGGATTAACAAAAAAAAAGGCTCCGCATATTAGCCTGGTACAGCAAGCGAACAGATGGCTACAGGTGAAGACTGAAAATCAGCAATGCCGAGTCTTAAGACTTTTTGTCCATATAACTGAATTGTATTTTCTATTACTTTTTAAGTATTGCGATTTCTATGTTTTGTGGAGAAATAAATGTCTTTTTATTTTTATATTGCATAACTATATGCACCCAAGTAAAAAACTCTTCCCTTGTATTTTTGTACTAACAAAAACCGGCTAGTCGTTCGAAATGCTACCTGTTAAGATTCTACTCCAAATCTTATAATTACCTTTCAGTGTAAAATATCAATACGTTTTTAGAAACCATTCATGGAAGAAATTGAAACATAGCAAATGAATTTCAAAATTACGTGACTTCACTTCAAGGTCAGGCTGCCTTTTGAGTTAGAGGGTTAGACACCAAGTGTTTAAGCATTGCTGAAAGCAATTTGGAGTTATCACGCGATTACACATTAGAAAAGGACGTCTTGAAATATATATAACATAAATCCTTTTGAATAAAAATTGAAATCATGATCCTATAAATGTTTTGTTATGTCAACTTTCATTACAATTTAGAGTTTCACACATAAATATATTACACTTTCCGTTTGAACCCTGTCAGTCTTATAAGATATTTTATTAATATATAAAAACTTGGTTTTTTAGGTCATTGACCCTATAGCCCCACGTTACACAGCATTAGAATCGAACCCAGTGCCAGTAAATCTGAAAGGTGTCTCTTCAGACAGCTTCTTGAACATCGCTCTGCATCCCAAGAATCCAGACGTTGGTACCAAAACTATATGGGTATCAAAGAGGTTACTCATTGATCAAGTTGATGCTAAGACTTTAAAGGAGGGAGAAAACGCCACGTTTATTAATTACGGGAATGTTATGATTGACAAGATTCATAAGTGAGTATTATTTATTCTGTTTTATTATTATCTCTAACCGCACAACAAAACATAACAAATAATATGCTCCTTTTGAACTTAACAAACCTAACATCATTCAATTTTAGGATGTTAGCCCCACTGACTACTTACTACCCTTGCTTTACTTGCGTCACAAATGTTAAAAAAAACAATTAGAAATTAGTCTTTATTTCGTCCATGATTTTTTCTTATCTCAAATTATAACAAAACAATAAAGAAATTAAAGCCACTCAGAAAATAATTTATTTTTTCTTTTTGAACACTAGTACAACATTTAGGGTGTGATAAAAAGGTTCAACTAAAGTTCAGATGGTAACCATACTCATAATAGATAACAAATCTATCAAAAGTAAATATGATACAGTTCCTAAAAAAATGTTTGGTTCTCTCTATCTAAAATTTATTTAATTTTTGTTATTATCTGTACTATATAAAATCAATGACAATTATGAAATAGTTTAATTTTTTATTTTATTTGAAAAGTAAATGTCGTACTAAAATACGTATTTTCAGGGCTCCAGACGGCACAGTGACCAATATAGATGCGACCCCAAATCTCGATAACAAAGACTACAAAAAGACACTCAAGTTAACTTGGTTAGCGGAATCACCTCAGTCCCCGATGCTCGAAGTGTACTGCGTTTACTTTGATCACATTATATCCAAGCCTCTTTTAGGTAAAGATGAAGATTTTAAGCAATATATTGGACATCAAACTAGGGTGAGTACATACATTACATTTTTATACAAATTTTAGTCCTTACAATCACTATTAAATAATTTGGTGTCGAAACTAAACAAAATACTGAACATTTCTTAAAAACCTAAAATATCGCTATGAATTACAGGCGCTTTTACAAATTTTATTTTAGTTTCAATTATGCTTAGACGCATATTTCTCCGGTAGATGATTTGTTTTGATTAAAATATCTTATTAAAATTGCACCCTTAGTGTAATAAGGCCACATCTGCAAAATGACAACTTTTGCAGGAGAAAGGATTAAAGATTCTATGAATAACATTAGTTGATAACTTTTTTAAGCTTAAATAGCAAAGTTATTAAATTTTCACATACACATAATTAGTTTAGAATGAAATAGAATAGAATAGACATTTTTGCAACGCCACAACACATAGATACAAGACATTAATAATACATAGACAAACAAAAAGAAAAGAAAGAATTAAAAACCAAAATAATAAAAACGCAAGAAAAAACAACATATTTCATTTGGTTCATATTAATTTTATGTACGTATGATTACACGTGGCGTTATTATAACAAAGCTACGAAGTGTGCAGCTTCTCTGGTCGAAATAAGTTCCATTATAAGTAGTTCGCCACAAACGACAAAATTTAGAAGAACTGCTATTGATTTCATCCGTACTGTGAAATTCATATTTTGCATGTGAAGCACTGACAAGTTATTTGGGAGAAGGTTTGCCTTTTAAGTATTAATTCAAAATTCGTTTCCGGACACGGAACTACTGATTGTATTCGATTTACCTCCAGTTTAGATACTAATTATCATTCGCTAAACTTGCCAGACATTTTAATATACTCTTTGAAGGCATGTGAAGTTGGAATATTTTATGTGTCTCTGGTAGCTAAAGGATGTACCGCGTAGAGAAATTTTCAAAATTTTTCACAAGTGGCGCTACGGCAAAAAGAACCGTTTAAAAACCCAATACGAAATTCGTAAGATCTGCGACTATTGTAGATCTGTTGCTCAACTAAGAGAGGTAGCCACGGTGAGATAACAAACACTGGTTCGAGTCCAATTGGAACGAAGGATTTTTCTTCGTATTTGTTTGATCTTTGTATCAATAATAATGACATGCGAAGTTCTTACACACTCTTCGGAAGAGATCCGTGCTCCGCAGTGGGACACAATATAGTTCTAAATCCGTAAAGTTATACACTGGAAAATACGTACATTACAAATTCAAGTAAAACTTGTTTTCAATTTGACAGTGGGAGATCCCCATGCTAGGCGAGCCGGAACTGGCTAAACTGAAAGTGGGTGACATAATACAACTACAACGTCGCGGCTTCTTCCGCGTTGACGTTGCCCCTACACCCCCTTCGCCGCACACTTCGCGGGCCACCCCACTCGTGTTGTTCCACGTCCCTGATGGACACACTAAGGAGATGCCTGGGCAGGTTAGTGGTGAATTTAGTTTTCAAAGCAAGTTTAGTACTCACTGTTGTTTAATTCATAGGCTATCTTTTAAATAAGTGCAACATATGTTTACTAAAATAAAAAACGAAGAAAGTTCTGGTCCCATTTGATAAAATTATTTATTTAAATGTATAATTGTAAGTCAATGTTTAAATGATAATCTTCTTGACGAAAATGTTTTCGAACTGACCTATATCTGTATTTTTTTTTAATTTTAGAAGGACGTCTTCTATTTGGCTGCTGATGACTATGTTTGTCTTTCAAACCCTTAATACTATAATGTAGTATTAAGGGTCGTATGCTAGAACTCTACTCAATGCTCAAGTCAGGACTTGAGTATGATTCAAAGCACTAGAAATCATACTCAAGTCCTTGCCATTAGGGTCGTATTTCCAGTGCTTGAAATCATACTCAAGTCTGCTCAAATCCTGCCTTGAGCATTGAGTACAGTTCTGGAATACGATCCTAAGTTTCTAACGGATGTTTGCGTTGAGTTTTTGGTGGTTTTTAATTTGATTTTTGTAGCCATATGTTTCATTGGATGTTTCTCGAGGAAAATGAGGTGTTAAAAAATATGTACGTTTATGTATACATCCAAGTTAACCGTAAAAAGGGTGAATCTAAATATAATTTACAGAAAACACTTTTATTACTCTTTTATAACATGCTACAACGACAAATAAATAATGGTTTAACAGAAAGGTGAACTCATTGTATGATCTTGTTTTAATTATGCAAGTAATGCTGAAAATCAGTTCAACAATAAAGAAAAGCGTCAAATACAATTTCTTTCATGCCTCAGCGTTTGCCTGAAAATCATTGATGAAAGGGTTTGCATGTACAAACTCAATGGGTATTCTGTAATTGGGATGCATCACTAACATTTCCACTAATAATTTGTGAAAGCTATACAACTTGGACAAGTCGTTTTCCTTTTTATCTAATCTGCTTGCTGCCCAATACTTATAGTAGGTTCTACGAATTGTACATTCCAACCTTTTTGATTTGTAGAATTGATCTTTGAGTTTGAAAGCCTGAAAATGAAATCAATTTACGCGACGTGAGGTACTGACGTTTCAAAACAAGATATGTCTAGAGCAAATGGCTGGAAAATTGTTTTAAGCTACATAGCGCCAAGAGGAGAGAGGATGTGGAGTGGACAAAACTTATTAAACTCTAAAACTGATATTGCTAATGACATGATTTGCTGTGATAATTTAAAATACCTCTCCATGCTCCCCGAGTCTTCTTATAAACCGGACTCCGTTTATAAAGTGTTGCTCCTTGTAAAGTGAATTGTTTATCACATCGAAGGGGATGCTTCCTAAAGTGCAAATTTGCTTGAACAATATATCATTGTTATATAATCCTGGGAAAAGAATTATATTTGTGGCCATTTCGTACATGACTAATGCGGTCGACCACACATCAATGCTGTAGCCTGCTGAATGACCGAGAATTATTTCTGGTGCTCTGTAATTTACTGTTCCTATACTAGGCAACAAAATTTGGCTATCTATGGGGCCTGCCCTATCAAAACCGCAAAGTTTAAGTTTATTATTGGCGCTGTTCATCATGATATGTGTAGGTTTTATGTCTGAAAAGTAAAACGAAAAGATTAACCAAAATTAACTTTAAGTAGAGTATCGCTAATTACAGGTTTTTACCACGATTTCATGTTTTAACAGCCTGATGTGGTATGTATGTAGTAGTTATTCCCTAAAATAACAATAATTTTAAGGAACAACTATATAGTCTTAAAATCAAATACTTTCCTTAGGACTTAGGAAAAAATTACACCCACCTGAATGCACAATATTATTGTTTCTCAACACAGTGACAGCAGATATCAACTGCTTGGACAGATTCTGCACTTCGTCAATATTAAATGGCTTATTACCCTCATCAAGAACTTGCTTTAAATTCTTGGGATAATATTCCATAAGAAAACACCAACGACCTTGAACCATAAAACCGTTGATAAGGTAGACTAAATTGAGTTTGTATCTTGGAATATCCTTTTGACACTGTTTTAGCATATTTTCCTTTGCTATACCGAAAAGTAACCTTTTATTTTGGTTTCTGAAAACAAAAAAGTTCTGTAAAGGTAACAAAAATTCTTCTTTTTCACTTTTGCATTTAAAAAATACTCACTTTATTACTTTAGCAGCATAGTTTCGACCAAGCGAATCTTTGCACTTATAAATTATGGAGTATTGCCCTTTGTTAATAACAGACAGAACTTTATATTCATCTCGTAAGTATTCTAACATCCTTTGTTCTAATTTACGTCCTCTAACTTTATCGACTCCCTGTAAGGTAGCATTAATTTCATTTTCGAGATAAGCAACTTTTTTAGTATTATTTGCATTACTTTTGTCACATTTTGGTGACTTGATAGGTGAATGTACTTTGCAGCGCTTCGATGAGTCAACATCGTTTCTGTTGGGACATTGTTCATTTTGTGACTTTACAATTGTGGGTGTGTTTTCTTCATCTTTTTTGACGGCATCAATCGACTTTGTAATTGTTTCATTCGATGTGTCTTTTATGGCGGATTCGGCTTCACATTTGAGATCTGTACTGTGTTTCACATCTTCACAATGGTTTTTCTTATTGTTCTCTTCATCAGTTGTCAATAGTTTTCGTGACATTTCATTTACAACATTAAACTGTAAGGCAGTTTTTAGTTCTTGGTTACCACTTCCATCTGCAGATACCTTCTGTGAATTTTGGGTTGTACAGATTTGTAAATAAGATGGGTCGCAAAAATTTAGTTTACCTGAGATAGATATTAAACTGTTATTTTGATTTTTTACGTTTGTTTCAACTTTACTAGGTTCCACTGTTGTTCCATTGCTTATTTTCTCTGTCTTTACCGAAGCCGTACTCTTATTATTCCCAGTCTCTCTGTGCTTCTTTTCATCCAGAAGGTTAATGTTCTCTGTTCTGCGTGATCCTCTTTTAGATAAATTATCAGATTTAGGAAAGTTGCTACCAATTTCTGTTTCTATTTTCGAAGTATCTTTATTTATTGGTGATTGTGGTTTAATATCATTCAAATTAGTAAAAATTACTGTGGTATGTGTCAAATCTGAAGTACTGTATAACTCTTTGTTAATTAGCTCAGTTCCAGACACATCTCTATTTTCCAGTTGCTTTTTTTCTTTTAAATTACAATGACGTCCCAAAGTTTGCGTGTTTTCTACTTCACTGCTATTTGACGAAGACACATAAGCAGCACCAGCAACTAACTCTGAGATAATTCGTGTTTCGTTAGAACATGGACCCTGTTCCGTATTGTTATTTTCTTCTTTGTGCTTAGTTTTGTTAATTGTACTTTTAATATTTACTTGGTCTATTAAAGAAATGTCTTCTGCATCCAGAGTACAATTAAAATCTGATTCTGTCTGAATTTCAAACAAGGAATTCATACTCATCGTGTTGCTTTCATAATTTTTCTTATCATTTTCTGTTGATTTGTTTCCTTCTCGAGTACATCTTCTTACAGGCTGACCGGTGATAGCTGCAAGCTTTGCTTGAAGTTCATCTGATACTTCTTCTTTTATCGAATTAACATCAATAATAGCCTCTTGTGACAGGTTTCCGTATTCAATTTCTGGACATTCTGTTTTTATTTCCTTTTCCACCAAACTATTCCCATCTTGTGTTCTTACCGCAAAAGATACCTTGTTTTGTGATTGACCAATCCTAAAATATATTAATACCAATACAGACTCGAAAAAACATTAATTAAAAATAGTTAGAAAGACATCTAAAAGATGATTATTATCTGAATTACTCATATATTATTAAAAGATAATTTGAACCTGCCTCCGAATTTTCTGCTACGCAGAGGTCCTGGGTTCGATTTCTGGGCCAGGAGAAATATTGTGTGGCCTACATTTATTTATCTCAACCGTTTGGGCGTAATTTGTGATTGTGTCCATGGCACCCACAATACAGAGTTACCCTAGTGCAGAGTTATGAATGTGTGCGTTATTAATTATTAAATTACCTGGATTCTTCTGCATTATGGTCTGTATTGTCACGAATTTTAGAATTTATAATTTCGCTATCAAGGGTCTTCCTAAATCCGCCCGCATTTTCAGTTTCAATGACTTCTGTTTTAATGCCATCTAATTGTAATGATAAAGTTTTATTCTGACAAACGACATTTCGTGATTCGTTGATAGACCTGAAATGTATAATTTTGTTCTAGTGACGTTCAATAGCTTAGAATCTGCTATAATAAGTAAAGTTGAAATGCATAATAATAAATGTAATTTCTACACCCATCTAAACAAAAAATTAAAATATGATAAACACGAACCTTAATCGTCCGTCACACATGTTGCTATTCTCCAAAATACTTTTAGGGATATTATAATTAATATGTTCTTGAGATTGTAAAAATAGAGTGGAATCCAAACTGCTTTCATCTGTTGAGCCGGCAATTATTTCGACGCCCGATTTAGAAAGTTCAGAATTGTTTTCACAATCTTTTAAGCTATTGACGATCTCATCGATGTTAATATCGTCCAAAAAACTAAGATCGACATTATTAAAATTATTGCTTTCATCTACTTCATTTCCACTTGAATCGCTTGATTTTACATTAGAGGTAGTTGGTTGTTCATATTTTACATTTATAACAAGTTTAATTGTTTTGTTTTTCACTGACTTTGAACTTGATAATTTCACATTAGTAGACAATTTCAATTGCTCATCAGAATCAGATTCTGTTTTTTTATCTTCTTGTGAGTTTGGGATTGTAATTTTTAAATTATCTCGCTTTTCTAGAAAAATATTTCGGTTTCGTTTTTTAGAAAATAGTTCATTCAAACTTCTATGGGAAAGTTTCTGTCTTAAATCAGTTATTTCGCTTTGTTTGATTTGTTCTATTTTTTTTAATTTATTTGTACTACTAGATCTAACATTTTTTTTTGTTTGTTCCGATGATTTTTTAGTTTTAATTTTA